AGATTAAAGCGATACAAGAAATGCCAGTGCCAAAAACAGAAAAAGAAGTTCGTGGTTTCTTGGGTAGAATAAACTACATTGCAAGGTTTATCTCTCAGCTCACCGCCACGTGTGAACCGATGTTTAAACTCTTAAAGAAAGATCAGGCGATTATTTGGAACGAGGATTGCCAGAAGGCATTTGATAAGATAAAACAGTATCTACAGGAACCTCCGATCTTGATACCCCTAGTGGCTGGATGGCCCTTAATCATGTACTTGACAGTTCTTGAGAATAGTATGGGGTGTGTTCTCGGTCAGCACGACGAGACGGGAAGAAAGGAGCATGACATTTATTATTTGAGTAAAAAGTTCACAGACTGTGAATCTCGTTACTCGATGCTGGAGAAAACGTGTTGTGCACTAGCCTGGGCTGCCAAATGTTTACGACAGTACATGCTCAATCACACCACCATGCTAATTTCGAAGATGGATCCGATCAAGTACGTCTTCGAGAAGCAAGCGCTTTCGGGAAGGATTGCCAGATGGCAAATGGTGTTGACGGAATATGACATTCAGTACGTTTCCCAGAAGGCCATCAAGGGCAGCGTATTGTCTGAATACCTTGCCGAGCAGCCGATCGAGGATTATCAGCCGATGAAATTTGAATTCCTTGATGAGGATATCATGTTTCTCAAAGCAAAAGATTGCGATGAACCGTTGCCCGACGAGGGTCCAGATAGGAAATCCCAGTGGAAATTGATATTTGACGGGGCGGTTAATGCTTACGGAAGTGGCATAGGGGCGATCATCACGACTCCCCACGGATCCCACATCCCGTTTACTGCGAGACTAACGTTTCCGGTCACCAATAACGAAGCGGAGTACGAAGCATGCATCATGGGTCTAGAAGAAGCAATTGATTTGAGAATCAAGAACTTAGACGTATATGGTGACTCGGCGCTTGTGATCAACCAGATTAAAGGGGAGTGGGAGACTCGTCAATCAAATTTGGTGCCGTACATGAACTATGCCAGAAGGCTGCTTCCGTTCTTTGATCGAGTGGAGCTCCATCATGTGTCCAGAGCTGAAAACCAGATGGCTGATGCCTTAGCCACGTTGGCTTCGATGTATAAAGTCAATTTTTGGAATGAAACTCCAAGAATTGTCATTTCTAGTCTTGATAGACCTGCATTCGTCTTCGCGATCAAAGAAGCCACCGACGGCAAGCCATGGTTCCATGACATCCAGACCTTCCTTATGACTAAGGAGTATCCTGCGGGAGCGTCAACCCAGGATAAGAAGACTCTGAGGAGGCTGTCCGGAAATTTTTATCTCAATCCTAATGGAGTTTTGTATAAAAGAAACCACGATCTCGTGCTACTCAGATGTGTAGATGAGAAAGGAGCGAGTATGCTCATGGAAGAAGTCCATGAAGGCACATTTGGTATGCACGCCGACGGGCATGCTATGACAAGAAAGATCCTGAGAGCAGGATACTACTGGCTGACGATGGAATCGGATTGCTTTAAATTCGCGAAGAGATGTCATAAATGCCAGATTTATGCTGATAAAGTTCATGTGCCGCCGTGCCCGTTAAATGTCATGTCCTCCCCTTGGTCGTTCTCCATGTGGGGCATCGACATGATAGGCAAGATCGAGCCCACTACGTCTAACGGTCATCGCTTCATTCTAGTAGCTATCGACTACTTCACCAAGTGGGTGGAGGCAGCCTCATACGCTAATGTGACCAAGCAAGTGGTGGCTAAATTCATAAAGAGGGACATCATCTGTCGATACGGAATTCCCGAGCGGATCATTACTGATAATGGTTCGAATCTGAATAACAAGATGATGAAGGAGCTGTGCCAGAGTTTCAAGATTGAACACCACAACTCATCTCCTTACCGGCCGAAGATGAATGGCGCCGTTGAAGCGGCCAATAAGAACATCAAGAAGATTGTTCAGAAGATGGTTGTGACCTACAAAGATTGGCATGAGATGTTGCCATTTGCACTGCACGGTTATCGTACAACGGTACGTACATCAACCGGGGCAACTCCTTTCTCCTTGGTGTACGGTATGGGCTGTCCTACCGTTAGAAGTGGAGATCCCTTCTTTGCGAGTTTTGGTTGATGTGAAACTCGACGAGGCAGAATGGATTAAGAACCGACTAAACCAACTCAGCCTGATGGACGAGAAGA